GAAAAAGTTAAAGCTTTCAAAAACTGTACAGTTTTTTAGGAAACTAATCTTATGGCTAAAAAAAAAAAAAAAAAGCTAGCACCATAATGTGATGATGTCAAAGCAAGCCACAAACCCATCCTAAGCAAGATGAAACTTCTGTAGATGCTGTGATGAGGAGTACCTCAAGAGAACCAAAGTTTATCTGCGGTCCTGTGCTCTTTCTCATTTACTGCATGTCCCTCAATAATTTTTTCTGACAAGTTCAGAGGGACCATCACAAGCAACATGGTGTGCCTGAAGGAACAATTGTAGGTGCTTTTTTCTTTTTTAACCCTTTTGATGGCATGATTGGGGTGACAAATTCATCCAAAGAAATACAAGAAGCAGGTCACCAACTGGAATCAACAGATTTGGCTGGAAAAGAGGGAATGCAAAATGTCACACAAAGGACAATTTACAGACTCAGTAAAGAATTCATGCATTATATATCTGTGCCGAATAAGGATGAGACAAATATTGATAGAATTAATTCAGGATATTTCTACCAAATCTTTTTTTTTTACCATGCTTTTGTCACTTCAGCATTTTGAAGTTCAGTAAACCGGTTTAGTATGTCTGCCATGTTCTTAAGCACTCTGTTAAACTAGTCCTTGAGATTCTGGAGATGAGTTTGCAACACACATAGTACTGAGTACATTGCCACTGGATAACAAACATTTTTGAAAAGTCAGCAGTGCATGGTAATGGTCTGAATGTAATTTAGTTTTAAAATGACGTTTTAATATTTGAATTGTTATTAATTTTAGCCATGTTTAGGGATCTTGACAGTTTCCCAGCAGCATAAAGTATAATACCTAATAAATATATCCTGCTTACAGAAAAATGTTTGCCCAAACCTAATCACGGAAAAAAGAAAGAATCTGCAAGAATATGATCTCTTGTTAGAAAAGGAGATAGAGTAGGTTATGCTTCTGTAATCCAAAAATAATTCTTGTTGTTTACATATGCTCTGTGACTAGAGGAAAAAATATTGCAAGATGAGAAATACGTGAAGAAGAGACCAAAGGACTAAGCAATAAAAATAAAAGGCTGGCTACCTGCCAGAATTGTAATGCATTGCCAGAATCAAAGTCCTATAAGTCTGAGGGCCTTTGGTGAGAAATTTTAATCAGATGGAAAATTAAGGCAAGAAAAAAAAAAAACCAGGCTATTTACATAGTCATTATTATTTTTTGTTCATAATTCCTGTTTCTATAATGCTTCTGTGACTGACTTTCTTTTTAAAAAAATACAGGCACATCTTTATTATCTGTTTTCTGTTGGTTTATGTGATAACATTCTTCATGTCTAATGCTTCCGCTGCAAATGACTCCTGCTGGCAGTCCCCATTTGCAGTATCTCCTTTTGTGAGTCTGGGATCTTGGTGCACATTTCTATGGCTCCCAGGCCATGGTAATATCCACAATTGGCCTGTTAAGCTAATAGTTATTCAAGTCATTAGGACCTTCTAAGGAAATGAGGAGTGAGCCACTGATTTTGAGTTAGCAAGCAATTGCTTGGTCAGTCTGCGTGTTCTCATTTTTCCTTCATCCTGCCTTCATTTTTTTGCAGTAGGTTATTGTGGTATTGTAATTCTGGATACTACAAAAGAAGTTTTATGTTCCTGGTCTCCCAGTTAGCTACAAGTATTTTCTAGTTACGTTAGCAGAAGATGACCTCTAAACATTACCCAGCCTTTTTTCTGATGTTAGGAAACAGGAAAGATGCATATATCAAACACATCTTTATAGCCTGCCAGAAAGAACAATCAACAAAGCATAGCTGGAAGGAAACTCTCTGATCTCAGGTAGAAAGGGTGCTTCACTTGCAGGCAAAATAAAATGGAAAAGGGGGAAGAAAGTATCTTCTGCTGGAAGAGAAATTAAAGAAATGATAGCAGAATTGAGATCTGCATATTGGAAACTTCCTTCAAGAACTTGGAAGGAAAAGTGGAAGATGTGCATAAAACTAAGGTAATTATCAAGCACAGTTTTTACATATGCTGAAGTTTCAAAGTGGTAGAAAAGTTGTTCCTGAACAGGAACTACAGATCAGAGATTTAGGTAAAAAAGAGAATGAGGAAACAAATTTTGGATCAAAAATGGCATGGAGGTGCAAGGAGAGGAATTT